TAAACATGGGTGCAGTTTGCATACGAATGCATCCGTAGGTGTAGAGGTAAGGTGCACCTTCAAAATTTATCATAGTATATAATTTTGATGTAAAATGTTTTTAGGATTATCTCAAAATCTATTTTTATATCTAATTATAAAATTTTGAATTTTAAAAATAGTTAAAATCAAATAGATCTATAAACATATGAAAATCTTGAAATTGGACGGTGTAGATAATATGTTGTAAAATACACTATTTCTAGGACTTAAAATCTTTTTATTTTTCATAGTCATACATCTCGATGTCAAGATGATCCAACAAAGGGTTTTTCAACATTAAAACTACCTTTTCCGATGGATTTTTTGGGGGAATCCGTAGTTCTACATTATAAGGTAGCATCCTTATATAAACATTTTTCCTTTAAACATATTTTGTATATTGGGACCCAACAAATATTACCAGATCTGGAGTTAGACCCGAATAGTATTCGAGTCGAAGATTTGGACCCAGACCCAACCCACTAGATCAAATTTTTGAACCCGTACCTAGATCCGGATCGGGTCTACCACTCAAGTCCAAGGTCGGGTCCAAGTCCCATGTCACTCCTATTCCTTAAGTGTATTTTCTAGGAAACTAAAAAGGAATTTCTAGGGGGTGAATTCTATCATGTACTTCTAAGATGCCTACTGATTTTTTCTCACTTTGATTGGCTGCTAGACTTGAGTAGTTATGTCCTACAAATATGAAGTCCTAAAATACTCTTAAATAGGACTTTTTCAGAGGAAGCTAGTGTACATTTTGCTTTTATGGGAGAATAAATTTTGGGAGCAAATTTGGATTTTGATCTTGCAATCTTTTTAAGAAAATTCTAGGCTTCCCATACTACTATTTTACCGCTTGTAAAGGGACCAGATGCTGCATTAGCAAGACTATAACATTCAAGAATTCATACCCAACATCTATAGTCCAAGCCATTATGGCTTTAAGTTTGATTATCCTATTTGATATAGATTTATGGCAGCGGGTCCACGAACTGATATAATATGCAAGT